CAACAAATCAGCTAAAATAAGAATAATAATATAAACGTGTATAATAGTATAAAAATAAATATTTTATAACACAACAATAAAATAGAAAATACTATTAATATTAAATGTATATAATAAAATATGTAATAATATAAACTAATAATCATAAATTAGTTGAGATCTATAAAATAACAGCTACAACAATAATATGATATAGAGTAACATAGTAATAATAAATACATCTGATGGATTCATATGATAAATAAAAGCATTATACACAAAAAAAATTAAAATGGCTTCTTTTTTTTTGAGTGTGTGGCTGTTTAGCATATAAAAATGTTTACCATGCAGCCTTTCAGCTAATAGCATTACAAGCATCCCCTTCTCGCTTAATTGTTACATATTTATGTTGTCTAAAAACTCTTTTTATCTTGTTTTCTTAGTGCATACAGTTCATACAGTGCAACATAAGTGTTATGATCTGTAACACTGTTACACTGACTGGAAGAAAAGGAATGAAAAGTAAATACGGTCCAAGTTGCCTGTTGAAGAGAAGAATCATTATAACGCAGTATTTACTGATAGAAAAGTTATAAATTCTTGCAATAATTTTACAGTGCATCTTTAAACACAGAACAGTACCGATGGACACAGGAAGTGTGCCATTTAGGCCAGGGTTTTTTTGTATGAATCAGCCATTTGAACGAATTGGTTGAATGAATGACTGAATGACTCACTCATAAGACAGTGACTTGCCACCACCTAAAAAACAATTAATACCCATTTATTATCATTATTTTGTTGAATCAAAAGGTTTCTTTCTAAAGCTACTTTTTTATGTTTATTTAATGCTTTTCTCATCTAATTAAAATTTAATTACTTTAATCTTTTGGGGGGTAATTTCTTAGCCAAAACTGATGTGTGATTAATTTGCGATTAATTAATCAGCACATCATGTGATTAATTATAATAAAAAAATTAATTGCTTGACAGCCCTACAATAAATGAAAAAAGGGGGCAGGGAAGCAGGAATAAACCATTAACAGTATCATAAGAATTATAAGTCATCACATTGAAATTTTTACATTCTGCTCTTTTAATGGTCAAACCCATCAACTGCTCTGAGAAGTTAAATCAAGATAGGTTTAAATATTGAATATTTCTGTTAAGTTAAAACAAAATTATAATTAAATATAAGGGTAAATATTTAAGAAAACCTTGCCAGGTAAATTACAAGTATATATACAGTGTACAGCATATGAAAATTAAAGACATAATAAAATATGTAATAATATAAACTAATAATCATAAATTAGTTGAGATCTATAAAATAACAGCTACAACAATAATATGATATAGAGTAACATAGTAATAATAAATACATCTGATGGATTCATATGATAAATAAAAGCATTATACACAAAAAAAATTAAAATGGCTTCTTTTTTTTTGAGTGTGTGGCTGTTTAGCATATAAAAATGTTTACCATGCAGCCTTTCAGCTAATAGCATTACAAGCATCCCCTTCTCGCTTAATTGTTACATATTTATGTTGTCTAAAAACTCTTTTTATCTTGTTTTCTTAGTGCATACAGTTCATACAGTGCAACATAAGTGTTATGATCTGTAACACTGTTACACTGACTGGAAGAAAAGGAATGAAAAGTAAATACGGTCCAAGTTGCCTGTTGAAGAGAAGAATCATTATAACGCAGTATTTACTGATAGAAAAGTTATAAATTCTTGCAATAATTTTACAGTGCATCTTTAAACACAGAACAGTACCGATGGACACAGGAAGTGTGCCATTTAGGCCAGGGTTTTTTTGTATGAATCAGCCATTTGAACGAATTGGTTGAATGAATGACTGAATGACTCACTCATAAGACAGTGACTTGCCACCACCTAAAAAACAATTAATACCCATTTATTATCATTATTTTGTTGAATCAAAAGGTTTCTTTCTAAAGCTACTTTTTTATGTTTATTTAATGCTTTTCTCATCTAATTAAAATTTAATTACTTTAATCTTTTGGGGGGTAATTTCTTAGCCAAAACTGATGTGTGATTAATTTGCGATTAATTAATCAGCACATCATGTGATTAATTATAATAAAAAAATTAATTGCTTGACAGCCCTACAATAAATGAAAAAAGGGGGCAGGGAAGCAGGAATAAACCATTAACAGTATCATAAGAATTATAAGTCATCACATTGAAATTTTTACATTCTGCTCTTTTAATGGTCAAACCCATCAACTGCTCTGAGAAGTTAAATCAAGATAGGTTTAAATATTGAATATTTCTGTTAAGTTAAAACAAAATTATAATTAAATATAAGGGTAAATATTTAAGAAAACCTTGCCAGGTAAATTACAAGTATATATACAGTGTACAGCATATGAAAATTAAAGACAAGTATTGCACTCAAAATCGCAGTTATGTCATTAAAAAGTCTTTTAGTAAACAAGGGAATTTAGATATGAAAGCAGCATAATTATACTCAAGAATTTACTGGCTGTTTCAACTCTTACCATTTTTGTGTGTGTGCAATATGCATAAGCTGTAGATTGAGCTTTAACATGTATTGAACCCAGTGATTGAAGTGGGCCGCAACACACCAGTACGCACTACCAGCACTTAAATATTTTTAAGGCGGGCGTACACGGTGCGATTTTCGCTGTCGTACGAGCTCGCAGGCAATTTTTTTCTCTCGGGAGAAAATCGCAGATGCAAGCATGGTCGCGGCTCGTACCGTGTGAGAAGAATTACGGGCCGATCCAAGACGTTACGAGGCCCTCCCGTCCTCCCGATAATTTTCAAACATGTCAGAAAAAATCGGATGCTGTCAGTTTAAATTCGTGGCATATGTGCGGTTGAACGAGACGATTTGGCGATCCATCTGAAGTTGACCAATCAGAAGATGACAAAAACCATATAGTCTATAATAATTTTAGTTTAATTATACAGTTCTATTTTTTATTTGTTATTCCGAATGTGCCAAATTTGCCGTTCAGCTTTATGAATGAATATACCTGTTGTATTTCCGGCAAAACGAGCAGAAATTCAGAAATGGCCTA